TTAGGAAGGGAAAGTAAAGAAAAGAAAAGTTTATTCGAATAAAGTCTCAAAGCAGTGAATCCTCACAATGTCTCGTCTAACCTTGCTTAACATTAAAACTGACAGGCCAGTCACCACCTCCCTGAAGTTCTTGTTCCACTTCCCAGACTTACTTTCCCCCAATTTTTTTCATTCATCACTGTAAATATTTTCTTCCTGGAAATAGAGTTTTTTTTTAAATTGGACTTTTTGCAAGATAGTAAGACAAGAAAGCTCTGTAGCTGATTGATAGAGAAATATAGATATGTTAGGCCATATTTATTATTCAGTAGTCTATTTGAAGTTTACACTATGTATATAAGCTCTTAAAGCAAAATTTCCCCCTGGACTATACCTGAGTATGGTACTTGCCCTGTAAACTAGAAATTTTTCTCTTTTCATTGAGAATGACTGCTTGATGTGCCTCTTACACTTGTGAGGTGATGAGTAGCCTGATCAGATTGATCCAGATAAAAAAACGTTGAAGATTGAATCCGCGTTAAAACAAGCAGTATTCATAATGTATTAAGTTATGGTAGCACCTATCCTTATGAATAAATTTGAACCATACCTATAAAGCACAATTGTACAAAAAGCTCTTAAAAATAATATTGATCTTGAGTTGTTCTAGAATTTGCTTTTATATATTCATGCAAACCATACGAAAACACTTAATTGGAAATTTGTAAAATATGCCTTCTAGCATATAATAATAGTTATATGCATTTTTTTCAGTTTGCTGTTCATGCTTATGACAGCTATAGATCTGCTTCCAGATTATTTTCCTAATGTAATGACATGCAAAAAAAGTTAATAGAAAATTTCTGAGTTTATGTATTTATAACTTAACATGGAAACAGGTTCATGCAAGTTGGACTGTTCTGTGTACTGTGTTAATACTAGTTAAATTTATTTGGAATATCTTTGAAATACCAATCATAGTATATTTAGGAGTACAGTATTTGAAGCAGTAAATATATTAAATGTTTACCACAAACTGAAAAAATATGTAATTTTAGAGCTTTTAAAATTCATTTGAATATATACTTTTAATAAAGAAAATGTTATGCAAACTTAAAGTTGAGAAGTTGACTTTCAAGATGCCACATGAATTGCTGCTTATATAAAATACATTGTAAGCAACATTGCGTGTAAAAGAAGTACTTTATGTGATGGTTCATTTCTGTCAAGCTTTTACATACATGTCTGTGTTGTGATAGGTTCTACTACGTGATGTAGCTTTAGGAACTCTCAAAAGAATTCGGTCTTTTCCTTTGAGAAAATTTCTCTGTCAAGTCACTAGTCTTCTGCTTCTCGGTATTACCAGATGAGACAAGTGGTGCAGCTTTCCTGCCACTGTCATGGCTTAAGCAGTCCAGGCACCTTTTACCTAATAACTGAGGAAATGGGAGTTTTTGGCCCAGAGCTGCTCAAATGCTCTTCTCAAACTATTGAAAAAGCTGTGCTACTTTGAGGATCTATTTGCCACTTCTAATATGTTCTTGTGTGCTTGTATGTTTTCTGCTTTGTCATTTTCCAGTATAGAATGTCATGTTCTAATTAGGTCTGAGGTTATTTGATACATTCTGATTTACTTGTCAGAATAATACTGGCTTTTTGTTGCAGTAATCAGAATATAAAAACTGAGTTATCTTCATCTAATAGTTTTATGTTTCAGAAGTGCTTCAAACAATATAATATAACAGAATATTTAGAGAGGACCATATGTAAGTGTATCTGTGTTCTGTGTCATACTGTACATGACAGTGGCTAGTACCATATGCTGAAACAGCAAACTCTAGTTTATTCTTATACCAAATAGCCAAAGAATGTACTGTCTCCTCTTCTTAGTACTTTATTTTTATACCTTCATGAGTTTAGAAGATAATTATCTTTGGTGTGTCTATTTCACTGCTTCTCCAGAAAGGAGGAATTCATACATTCTCTCCATTTTGCAGCTACCATATGCATCTTTCTGTTAATGTTATTCAAAAGTTTTTAATTGTAGCTGACACTTTCTCATGCTCTCCCTTATATGTATACACACACACACACATTTCTGAATATGTATGTATGTGTCTGTAAACAGTGAGTTTGTATGCTGGCATCAGAGGTTAATCAGAGTAGCACTGCATATAGAGAGCTTAGAAGTAGATGGAGATAGTCAGGTCAGTCCACCACATTAGTGTAACTGTGTTATTTCTGGGACCTGTGGTGATATTAAACAGTATTGTGCAGGGTAGATATATCAAAGTGGTTAGATGGCAGGTCAGGTACCCCTGATGATTGTGCTGTGCTCCATACCCTTGGATTCAATTCTAAAAGTCTTTCTCTTAAACTAAAGGAGGGTAATCAAAAGAGGGAACAATATTATTCTATTTCACCTTGTAGTGGATTGACCCTGGCTGGATGCCGGGCCCCCACCAAAGCCACTTTATCATTGCCCTACACAAGTGAATGGGGGAGAGAAAATGCAATGAAAAGTTCATGGGTTGAGATAAGGACCAGGAGAGATCACTCATCAAATAACATCACAGGGAAAGCAAAATCAGTTTAGGGACATTATTGAATTTATTAGTAACAAAATCAGAGCAGGATAATGAGAAGAAAAATAAATCTTAAAAACACCTTACCCTGCCCTCTCTCCTTCCCGACCTCTACCTCCTCCCCTGCAGTGGTGCAGGGAGATGGGGAATGGGGTTGCAGACAGTTCATCACAGGTTGTTTCTGCCTCTTTCCCCTGCCCCCTGCTCGGCTGTGGGGTACCTCCCACAGGATCGAGTCCTCCCCAAACTTCTTCAACATGATTCCATCCCACAGGCAACAGTTCTTTCTCCACAAACTGCTGCAATATGGATCACTTTTTCACAGGGTACAGTCCTTCAGGCACAGCCTGCTCCAGTGTGAGTCCCCTTCAGGATCACAAGTTCTACCAGGAAAACTGCTCCAGCATGGGCTCCTCTCTCCATGGGTCTGCAGGTCCCTGCCAGGAACCTGGACCAGCACAGGTTTCCTGTTGGTTCACAGCCTACTTTCAGGCATCCACCTACTCCGGCGTGGGGCTCCTCTATGGGCTGCAGGTGGATCTCTGCTCCTCCATGGTCCTTCATGGGCTGCAGGGGGACAGCCTGCTTCATCATGGGCTGCACCATGGGCTGCAGGGGATTCCCAGCTCTGACACCTGCAGCATCTCCTCCCCCTTCTTCTCTACTGACCTTGGTGTCTGCAGAGCTGTTCCTTTCACATGTTCCTTTCACTCCACTCTTCTCTGTCCGCAATTACATCTGCATAGTAACTTTTTTTTAACTTCTTAAATACATTATCATTCCTGATGGGCTCAGCCTTTGCCAGTGGCAGGTCCATTCTGGACCTGGCTGGCAGGGGGTCTGTCGGACATGGGGGAAGCCTGGAGCCCCCCTGCTACCAAAACCTGGCCACACAAACCCTGTAATTACACACCTGTGATGGGAGGGGAAATTAAAGAGGAGTAAGGTGACACAAGTTAATAGCTGATTCTGATTCTTTGTGCTGACCTGTCAGCTGATTGCAAGGTAAAGGAAGGTGTCTTTGTGGCAACATAGAAATCCTGCAAGTTTGAATTCCGAGATGTAGTCTTGATTCAGGAGACCATTTTTATCTGATTCTTGTCATACAACATTTTTTTGAGTACACATGCCTCTTTATCATGCATTTTTCTCAGTTCCCTATCAAATTATCAGAAAAAAATTGTTCCATTACACAAGAGAAAAGCACAAATAAAAGTTTATAAAAATATCAGTTCACAGTATATGCAAAGATATGTATAAATTGTGCCTAAGTCTTTCATAGATAGAATCAAAGTATCAAGAGAGGCTTCAGCAACAACTAAATAATCAAATGCTTACATGCTTGCAGTTGTACAGACATTGATAGTTGTTGGCATAATGACGGTTTCAATCTTACTCTAAAATACAAATAGGTGTTTCACAGTGTTGTTCAATTTAATGAAGTGCTGAAGGCTGTGTCAACAAATATATTGGATTGCTACATAATAAAGGAAACGTAAGCTGAACTGGAGATCTGTTTTCAAGGGTGTCACTGGGAAGCTCTGCATACTTAGGTATGAACTCTTCAGATTGTACCTTAGTCAGTTACTGGTAGACCTGTAGAGTGATCCCGATTTGGAAGTGATAACTGCTGATAATGACAGTGGAAGGTATTTTGTTACCTTGGGGTGGAGATATCTAGTACTCGTTCCATTCTTTTCATCCATTCTGCTCTTGTCATCTTCCAGATACTATTACTTCTCTTGTCTTCTCCTAACTTTTCTCAAGCACATGACAAAATGGAATTCTGGGAAGGGTATCTTCTATTAGCAAGCAGCTGTACAGTTGCCAGTTTGCAGTTAGGTGCTCACGAATTTGGTTTGTGAAACTTCATTCAATCAACTAATATTCCAGCACACTCTTTAAGCACTTTTGCTGTCAACCCTATTTTCCCTTTTTATACTTCAACTTAGGGGGAAGCAAGTTCCTGCGTTATATGCCTAAATTACATCTCTGACCTGTGTTGGTAGGAGCTTCATTAGTATTGCCTTAATGAACATGGAAATGAAATGCCAAAAGACTGTCATAGGTGTCCCTGATATACAGCCTCATCTGCAGTAAGATGTGAAAATATCTGTGCTAGAACTGTTTATAGAAGTTTGCAGTAGTTTGCAAAGGAAGCTTTTAATTTCTAGGTGTATGTAGTTTCATAATTCCTTTATACATCAGGCATTTATTTCTGAGGACCTTAATTGGGTTTTGAAGGCATACCTAAGTAATGCAAATGAATTTTATTAATTAAGAAATCTGTGGAACATATATGTTTGAATTATTTTGTGTTCTTTGGTTTTCATGGAGGGTTTTTTCCCTTTTTTTTTTTATTTTTAGCATACTTTGAAAAGCTCTATTTAGCACCTTGGAGAAAAATATTAAACAGCTCTGTGTTTTGTTTTTCAGTGTGCAGTGACCTGGAATTCAGGGAAGTAGCGAACAGATTGAGAGACTGGTTTAAGGCACTTCATGAAAGTGGAATTCAGAATAAGAAGACTAGGATTGTTCAAAGGCCTGAAAGAACCAGTAAGAGATTTTTACTTGTCTTATTTGATGTTTTCTTTGATTCTTTTCTACTTTGGTATTTCTGTTGCTACGACTTGCCTTATTCTCACATGGTTTAAATAGGCATGTGTACCAAATCATAATTTCGGGCTTTTCTAAAGTTAATTTCTTACTTATGGCTTAGTACTAGCAGACAATGTTCACTTTAAACTTCCAACATTATTTGGCAGGACAGCTACCATTCAGAATGCTTTTATTTGTGAATGCTATCAAATTGAAAGAAAAAATACAAAGGAGCTGTAATTATGTGTGACCCATTGTTGCTATGTGATGCCACTGTAGGTACTGGTAAAGAAAAACACACAGAAAAGGAGCTTGTAAATAAAAAGGAATTTTCAAGGATAAGCTTGAAACTGGGAAAGACTCAGGAGTACTAATGAAATGGAAACAGTAAGGGTCATAATTTGTTTTTAACCCTCTCAAATACTTAAATAGTTTCTTCTGTTGTGTAAAGCAGTAAAACTTTAAAATGTAATTATCAAAGAGCTTATTTAAAATAGCAGCTGAAGTGTGCATTAATAGTTTCAAGAGTGATGTCCTACTGTGAAGCAGAGTCAAATTAGATTTGTTAAGCCATAAAACTGTACCTTTGGTTAATATGAAGAGCAAACTGTGAATTCTTCCAGTGTATGTTTCACGGAACTTGGCCACCACCATCTTCTTACTTTACTTATTTTATTATTAGCTCTTTTGAGTATTTGAAATCTTTATTTTTTATTATTTTTCTTTGCTTTTGTTTGATTGCAGTTTGTGGCATTACTTTTCTTTTTTCAAGATCATTTTATTGTGTGATTTGTTCATCTAAGTATGATGTAGTGCAAGCACAAAGTTCTTAAGCGTGTGAGATTTTACCCTTAGACATCTTTTTTGACCTTTTTTCCCCAAGCACGCAGATGGTATTAATAAGACCTTCAATCTATACTTGAGACAGTCGACTGTATTATGATGTGTATGTGGATATAATATACTATTTTTTTTGCCACTGGTTGGTTTGCAAATTTTTACTTTATAATAGCAATCAAGGACTGTATTTGGACTTAAGATCTAAGATTTTAATATGTGTGACTAGTAGTGCAGGAGTCTCGTGAATTTTTGGATCTTGTCAGTTTTGGAAACCTTAAAGTCCTCTTCTTTGACAGTGTAAAGAATATGAATATATTTTAGAGGGTATCTGAAATTTAAGGCACAAGTTAGATTGGATCCTATTCTATCATTTTTTTGAGAGATAGAATCAAGAGTTGATTTGGATGGCTAAGAATAATCTTTGTAGGGGTCTTTTTCATCAGCAGGTAAGAAGGTGCAATCTATGTGGAAAAATCTGTTTCCTGTGCACTGCTGACTTTAAATTCCCTGTCAATATCATGATGTCAGAAATGTTTGACTTATGTTTGTATCATGGTACTAGAAATCGGAATGTTGTATGAAATATTAATTTATTGCTGTCCTGATTCTAAATTAGATGGAAGTGTGATGACAGGGTTCGGCATGTTTATTTTATTTTTACTAAAACAAAGTAAATCAAATTCTAGAAAATGGTTACATATGAGACATTTAGTTTGTCCTATGTTTTCTTCTTTTCTTTTTCTTTGCAAAATTAAAAACCCACAGTGCTTCACAAAAGCATTTGAACTGTATAGTAACTGTTTAGAGATCAGTGTTTTAGCACTGTGGGCAGTTACTCAAACTGCATATAGCTAATTGGGAAAAAATATTGCTTTCAGATATGAAAGATTCCATTTGTGCAGTACTTACTTGATTTTATAGATAGCCAATATTTACATGATTGTATTAATTTGAGAGGCTACTGCAGAAAGGCAGTCCATCTATAGACAGAAAGCAATGGAATTAATAGATGTTCAGTAATAGTTTTTTCCTTTGCGGATTTTGGGATGCACAAATTATCTTAAAACTGGTTTTGTTAGTGCAACTATCTATTTTTTCTAGTATGTACATTTCTGTACTTCAAAATTTCTAATTTGAGGCAGCACATCTTGTGAAGAATTAATATGTCTGTGATTTAGAAGGAAATGTCCCTGTAAATGCATAAAGAAACAAGAAATAATGGTAACCATTCAACGCGGTAATGTCCTTTCTAATAATATGAGGCAGTTCTTAAAATTGTTCTTGAAGACTTAAGCTCTTAAGTAATATCCCTCTAAGTCTCTCTCCAAAGTAATAGGAGGTCAGAGGCATTAGGCATATTGATACACAAATATACCAGAGCTGTCCAACCCCTGTTTTGAGGATATCAGAAAGCTACACCTACAAATAAATATTGCAAAGAACTTACCATGTATAATGAATTTTTACTTAGCACATGAGGCTTAGTGGTCTGTACGGAACAATAGCTATGACAAAAAAACCACCTGAACGCAACTTCCTCTTTCAGCATCCTAATTATTCTAGCAAATACCTGGAGTTGTTCATTACCCTTGAGGAGTTAAAAATCTGTTTTGGCACCTTTTTCCCCAGGCTATCCTTTATTCTTGTCATAAAGTTCCTTCCTCACTGAAAAACTACATTTAAAAGAGCAATTTGTGACATCCTTTCTGCTTGTCTGTGTTTAGGATTTCTCATATTTCAGTCTCTTTGGTGGCACTTGGAACAGGATTTATTAAAAGACTTGGGCACAGTCCTTCTGACCAAGGCAGATGTGGTGCAAGTGTGTAGTGCCTTGCTGGTGTTTTTCGGAGTTGTTTCAGCTATTAAATAGTCCACATTGATCCATAAAATCATTCATATTACTTCTAAGCAAACCAAACGACAGTGTTTAAGTTGTTCTGCTGGAACCGTCAATATTTCAATAACAAGTTAAAAATGTAAGGTACCTACGTTGCTGTGTTTGTAAAAGAATGAGGTCGTTTTGTTTTACTGACACTTTTTTTTCCAAAGCTGAATCTTATTAGTAATTCAGACTAGAATATTTCAAAACAAAAAAAAAAGGGTTTTGTTTCCAAAATCCCTTTTGTGTCTATTTGTGGTCAAATGGAATATATCTAGAAGTATCATTAATATAAATGCTATATAAAAACTTAAATCTTTTCCTCACACCATTTGAGGTCTAAATAGATGACACAAAGGGGAAAGGGATGCTTTACCTCATACTGCAATAATAACCCCGTTATTTTTCCCATATGGGTAGGAAAATATGGAGTTTAAAAATAAGTGACATTTTATATACCTATTTAAAGTCTATTAAAATACTGTTCTATTTCTATATTAATTTTGTATGATAAAACACAAAATTAATGTCTCATATGCAAAGCACAAAAATTACCATAGTCCTACAAATATTTCTGCTAACAGGCAGTCTATTTCTTAAGAATACTTGTGTACCTTGTCATGTTAGAAGATGAAAGACCAGAGGCCAAAGGTAAAAGAGAATCTTATGCCTTGGAAATAATATGATTATTTGGAGTCTAATACGCTAATAATTTTGAAAATAACATAAAAATACAAGTAGTCTGAAAATAAAATTACTTATAATTGGCTTGTCTAGAATTAGCATAGTGAGATATTATTACACTAAAATTGACAAATCCCCATACAAACTTGCAGAAGGAAAAGTCCAATTTTGTAAAGAAAGGTAAATAAAATAAGCAACTTCAGATTTTTGCTTGGAGGTTTTTATTTCCTTCTGACTATCCTAAATTCTTTATCAATGAAGAGACAAACTGACATTATGCAGTGATAAATTACAATTCGCTGATCTTCATTGCTGAAGCATATTTGGAAATTCTGAGGTACAGGCAGAACTTCTAAGCAGAACAATAAGATTTTTCTTACTCTTGTCAGTACTCTTCCATATAGTCACTATATAGTTATAAGAGCTAGAAAGAATTGTGTTTTTAAACAGTGTTTTTGATGTCTTCAAGATACTGACTGCCTGGGAATTTGTCTAATTCCTGAGATTATCTCAGAAAATGTCACATAAACTGTACTGCAGAGTTGTACAGGCTGGCAACCTGAACTATAATTCTAGTTTACTAGAAAGAAAAGGTTCTTCTAATGAATTTCTGCATGTATTAGGTTAGCTTATGCAAAGGCATCCTTAATGCAAGAGTCTGGAAGAAGAAATCCAGCATAGAAGTAATTCTGATCAAGGATTTTAATTAATTCATCTCTACTTAAAATTCAGACTCGGAATGAACTAAATCAGTATTATTGACTGAAGTTGGTTTTGACTCTTTTTTTTACAGAATTATTCTTATACACAATGTAGATGTTTATTATAGCATTTTATTTATTTCTCCTCAGATATCTTCTCATTTTCTTTAACAATCACAGCTATTAATAAAATGGTCAATTGGGTGTCCAAAATAATACATTTTATCTTAACTCTCAAGATATTAGGAAACTGATAGCCTCCAGCAATAGGATTCATCTTGCTTCCCCTTCCCTCCATAAAATTCTTTAAAACACTTTCTTGAAAAGGAGAGACTTCAGGATGCAAACTGTTACAGGTGTTTAAAGAACATTGCAGCTGTGCTTTATTTCTTCCTCTTGTACATTTTGTTGGAAATGAGGGTCATTTTTCCTAGATTTATCATAATACCTTTGGTACCTTCCCCATATACCATGTCCCCCAGGGCCAGGAGTTGGTCTTCGATGATCCCTGTGGTCCCTTCCAGCTCATGGATGGATGATTTTGTGTGTTGCCCTAACCCAGCTTTAGGCAGGTGACAGAGAGTGTTAAAGCTGTCTCCTTCTTGGGCTAGTGTGGAGCCAGATGAGGCTCACCTAGATCAGTACTTCTGTGATCAAGTATGACAGAAGGCATTCATATCTGCTTAGTCCTCTTTATTTTAGTCTGTCCTGCTTGGGTCCATCTTGATTACATTAGGAAGGAAAACATTTTCCCAGCTTGTAGTCGACCTGAGCTGTGTAATGCTGTTAACTGAAGATTTTCTGCAAGCCCAAATATTACAAAAATCCATTACAATTGAAAACCTGAACATATAAAATGCATGGTCTAGATGGCAGTCAGGACTCTGGCAGAGTGCACGTGTGTTTATTCACGTGTGATTTGTCGGTGTTTTTTATTGTTTCAGAGCGTGTACTGGTATTGGAAAGAATCGTGCACTTTTAGGTTTATTGGATAAACAATTTCTACATAATGCAATACGTGAGCCCTATGTATGTATGTATGCTGTTTTGGTTTCCACATGATGTCAAAATCTGTCTTCCTCAATGTACACAAGTATTTATTGCTTATATCCTTAATAAGCAGGCAAACAATAGTTTTACCTTGGAAAGCAGATTATATTTACTAAGAGTTGAAATTCCCCCCTGAGGAATAACCAGAAACAGGAGCGCTTCTGTTGGTACCTTTTGAACAAATGTTTTGAATGCCTAGTGTGTAAGCCATGGAGGAGGGCTATATTTCTTAATAATTTTTATCTTGGGATTGTTTTGGCCGAGGAAAAGAGCTTAAGCTGGTACTTCACATTTTTCTAGACAATGTTCAGAAATAGCTTCATAAAAACTCATCTTATTATGGTATATGGAAATAGATTTTAGATAAGTGGTTAAAATTAGAGGAAGCGAAAATCTTCTTTCATAATTTAGTCACCTGAGCAGCAGTTTTTGCTCTCCTCAGTATAATGTCCTGGTACTTCATCATCAAGAATAAATTACTATCATTCAACATACTAATTCATCCTCCTTAGTTTCCGTTTAGTGTCTTCTGTCACAACTGTGAAAAATGTCTAAAAAACCAGCATTCTAGTTGGTGCTCAAAGTGATAATATATGTAATGTGTAATTTGGGCAACTAACTTGCTAGTACTAGGTCACGTGGTGATTTTTTGATTCTTAGTTCTGTATCACCTGACCCCTTCATGTGCCAAACCATGTTAGCAGATGTTAAACTCTAGGTATGTACCTAAGTGCTTTTCTGTCTCCTTTTTCACAAGTATAACATTTTCCATAGTGACAGATGTATTATTTTATCAATATTGTAAAAATCGAAGAAAGTCATTGCCAAGAGAAAATACTTCTGATAATCTTAATTTTGGACAGTTCCTTAAAGATTCTTTTAAAATGAACCAAGAATTTTACTTTACCACAGTAATCTCTAAAAGACTTGATAATGTGCACATGGAACTGAGGGTGATGATCTTTTTGTGGTATAGAAGTTCTGGAAGAGGTGGACTACTCCATTTTATTTCAAACAAAGCTTCTATCTCTGTCAACACCTACCTGGCTTACCTCTGAAATACTTGAGACATTTTTATTTATTTCACCAAAACTAGTATTTGACCTAGATTTCAGACATTTCTATACTGCAGTGACTGATGGTTGTGAAATAGTTTGTCTTGATAAAACAAGACAAATGAAAACTAAAAAGATACGTGATTTTTCACTATTTAAAACACTAAAATTGTGTATACCAGAGAAGAGGAAGAACAAAAAGAAATAGTAAAAACAACAAATGTGCCTGGGCTATAAAGGAAAATACAAACTACTTCTGAATTAAGCTCTGAAAAAAGAAACAAACTACTTTCAAGGTAAAACATGATCAGTTTTAGAAATTATTATATCAAACAGTTATTTAGTAGAAAGCTAGACCCCATGACCCACAGTGCTTTTTCTCCAGCATGTGATGCTATTTAATAGGTAGGTTATGACAGCTTTAATAAATGTAAGCTTTATTTTCCAGGCTTGGAAATAGCATAAAAAATTTCTTATGTGAAATGTTATTGTTTAAACCAGGTTTATTAGTTCTGATGTACCAGTTATAATATATTCCTGTTTCTGGGAAGAGTATGTTGTGCATATCAGACTTCAGACTCTATATTTAAATATTTAACTATAGTTACGTTGAACCTTAAGTGGATTTATTGAAAATATTAGAACATAGTGACATTTTTCTGGTGCTATCCTGTTGATATCAGAGATCTGTAATAAAATCATCTGTCTTTTAGTGATATTGCTGATTCCAATGCAATTTTTTTAACTTCAAGCTCTGTCTTTAACTATGACAAATGTAATAGAGAAAAGGCTGGTGGGACATTACTATTAGGCACACTTTTTAAAAAATCTAAAAACTATATAGAAAGAAGTGAGAAAAAAAAATGAGAAATAGGAACAGAGAATGAACTCAAGTCACAGGCTAATGCTAATTAAGGGAATCAAGAAAAAAATAGGGATAAAGTCGTATGCAGTTGTATAATATTGTTCCAACCTTAATTTAGTGATGCATACAACCTTTGAAACGTTCAAAGTGTTCTTTCACTAGTCGTCAGATTAATTTATTTCTTTTTAGAGTATGATTTGAAACTGACTGAGAAGTAAAATAAGGAGTTGTTTGGGTTTTTTCTGCTTTTCCTTAGTTTAATTTATTAAATACATAAAACTGTCTTCTAGTGTCCTAAAATACAAAGTACTTTATGTGTGAGCTTTGCCAGCTTGGACCACAAACACTAAAAACACTTTGTCTGAAACTTGAAAGTGATGCTTCTTTCAGTACATTCATGCTCAAAATTCCACGTGCAGATGTATTATCTACAATTACTTACTTTGGCCCACAAGATACACCTGAATACACCCTTAAAGTGGCTTTTATATATTCCCTTCCAGCTGGCATCTTGTTAATTAGAATCTGTCTCCTCATGGTTACTCTTTTTCTACCCCTTCTCTTACAGTTTGGTGAACTGGCCAGAGTGGTAAATTCAGAAAAATTTTATGAGCACAAGAATAATTTCTCCCGTCATGCAGGTACACAAAAGGCAGGATAGGTGACAGTACGTTTCATGTCAACCTCTTTCTGAATCCAAGGTCGTGAGAAGGATCTCTAGCTAAAAGCAGGACTAGGAGAGAAAGTGTTAAGAGGCCTTCAGGAACAGAGCCTTATAGGTAAATAATGTTATACTGAATATTTAACCTTAAATAAAATGTTTTAAGATGGAGGAACCTTACAGAATTTTTCTAATCAGAAACACCTGTTGAATAATTTTGATATAATTTACAGATAAAGTTTAATAATACATCTACTATAATATCCTTATTCATTCTGTTGGGTCCTGTATCTTGTTGCTTTTCATAATCCACAGAAAAGAAGTTTAGTCTTTATGTGTTAACAGGGGCTGGAGAGGAAGGAAGAGAGAAGTCATTGGTTGAACGCTTGGCTATGTTTTTAAATTGTGTTAAACTCATGAAAAATATTAAAAATATCAAATGACTGGCTTTTTTTTTGCTTTTTTTCTCTTTCTTTCAAACAAAATTAATAATTAATGCAACAGGTCATAAGCGAACAAGGAAAAGTGAGATCACCCTGATGAAGAGTCACAGTTAGTCCAGGATTTCTGGGGAAAGGGGATTTATGTGGTGGTCCGACTTCAACAAGGAATTTTTGATGCTATCAGCTTTCTTCTTTTACTTTCTGGAGTGGTTGTTCTGCCATAGTGTGGACATGTACATATGCAGATATATATGTAAAAGAAAATTTACTGATTTCTAAATACAATTACTGGGTTATCCAAGTTGACCTGTTTTAGCAGTATAGAAGTGCTTTACAGATTTCTCTAATGTTGTCAAAACAACAGCAAAGGCAGACAGGCTTGATTTTTAACAGCAGTAGAAATTGGGAATTCCTGTGTCCACTTATCTTTTCCATGGTCTCCTCAGAGATAGAAAGTACTCCAGATAAAGATAAAATACAACTTTCAAAGCATTGCTGAGGCTATCATGTTACTTTTTCACAGATTTAAATGTATATTAATGGAACAAAAAAAAAAACCATGAACTCCAACAGGTTTTCTGGAATTTATTATCTTCTTAGTTCTATAAACTTTGCAAACCATTTAAGTTTCAGTCTCCTGGTTTATAATATCACCTAAATTCTTTAACAGAATTGTTTTCCAGGAACTCACTGTATATCATTTATTAGCGTACGTAGTGTGTATGCTATAGTTATGACATTTGACAAGAAAACTTGTATTTCTAAATGCTTTGAGACCGATGATGGTATTAATTTTTTTAGCAGGTTAATTTAATGACTTTTAAATTGAATCTGACATATAATTTATATGTAGTATTTCAGTAGCCTGCACTGTGTATGTACTGTATCTGTGTACCACCAGAGCTGTTCCCGTGATGCAGCATTCTTTTGGGATGGCTAAACTCAACAACTACTCTTATCTTTCTTAGTATATAATTTTTATTATTTTTGTTTTACCTCTTAGGATTTGATACCAGTATTTTGCCAATTTGCAAAGACTCCCTTGGCTGGATGTTTAATAGGCTTGATACGAACTATGACCTGTTGTTGGACCAGTCGGAACTCGGAAGCATTTACCTTGACAAGAATGAGCCATGCACCAGGGCGTTCTTCAATTCTTGTGACACATACAAAGACAGTTTGATATCTAACAATGAGTGGTGCTACTGCTTCCAAAGACAGCAAGGTAAAAGATGAGAACAAACTGCATATGTATATGACTGACCTTTTTGTTGGGCTTCATCTTTTTTTTAACTTATTAAGAAGATTACAGTAAACTGCAAGCTCTTAAATGCTGTACAATGAATTTGTGTTAAGGTTTTTGACCTATGGTGAATACCTAAAATGAAATTAAAAAATCACAAACAAAAAACCCCAGCCCAAGCTAAATGGAAACACTTGCTAAAAATTCAAGTATTCTAAATAAAGTGCAAAACAGCAACAAATGCTTTTACAACTATATTGTTCCTTGTGCCAACATCCAATACATATGTAGAGGAGAGAGATCAAAATAAAGAACAAAATTACTTAAATTCTTTCACAGTCTACTTTGCCTACATTATAAAATAAACTTTTTTTATTGCTAATGTAGAGTATCTTAATGTTCTGTGAGCCTAATAAAATAGTTGAATGAACATTATGGATAAAGTTATTTCCAGTCATTTGGACCTAAAACCGGTAGATTTTTATTGCCTAGTTAAATATCTTGTTAATGTTCTGATGTGATTTGGTTATACAAATAAACATGACCTGTAAGCATTATTTCCTGAGGAGTATAAAAAATTTTAGACGTAGGTGAGACATCAAATAATTTATATGATCAAACTAGTTATAATGTGTCAAGGAATTTACTCATTAGATATTGTCTAAAATTGGTCAGAATTGCCCCTTCACTTTTCTTACTAACATGAGGGAGTTTTTTTAAAGGATAAATAGCAACCAGGGTTTAAATTTCTTCTGCCAGTAGAGGAGATAAAACTGATTTGGTGGAAAGTTTGCAAAGGCAATTCAACCTTTTTGAAAATTTTAGTATCAGTTTTTAAATCTCACTTATACCCTTAAAACTCTCATAATAAATTCCCATTAGCAATCAACATGATTCTGATTTCTGTGGAAATAAAGGTTTTTATCATGCCACATCTACCAGTTTTAAATCTATATAAAAATAGAGCTGTACTTCTATAGATAAATACTGAATAGCAGATTTCCTTGGTAAATTTCTAGTTATAAAGTTAACATTTAAATTTTCAAAACACCTTGTTTGTTTCATAGTAGAACAATAATTTTGGCTTTTATCTTATAAGCATGTATGTACTGCTAACAAAATTAGCAAATTAAAAATAACCCATCCCAGAAGTAAGGTAGTTCTTAAAGAACATAACATGTTTTGTTCAGTTGTCTTTGAAATAAAAAAAACTACCACCACAATAATTTCAGCTTAATATATAAACAACCTTACACTTTGGAGGGCAGCATAATTCTTTTCAGTTGCCAGAGGAAGTACAGCACATAATATGTGGCCTAATATGGTCCAAGGTTTTTCTACCAATTTTATATCGTGTACGTACTACATAACCAGGGCATTAAGAAAACCCTTCCATAGATTAGTTTCAGGTAGTTTTGCTTTCTATAGCCTATAAACTCATCTTGTCTTAAATATTTGTTCAACATACAGCTAGAACCTGAGGATGGTATTGTAAAGACTGCTCTATATGCTACAGAATGTTATTAATGGTATGCCAGCAGATCCGACTTTCAGTGACACTGATTCTCCACATTGCAGAATCCAACATTATCAAGCTTTCCTTCCCTTTTTTACCAATTTCCTTGCTGTCTTGATAATGGTGTTGAGATAAGGCACTGATCTTTAACAGATTAGATAGCATATAGTAAAAAAGATGTGTCCTCAACATTGTTAAATGAAGTGAAATGTCAATTTTGTCAGTCCTTGCAGATTAGACATGCCCTTCATCCTTCCAAATTAGCGCTGTCATCAAAATCTGTATTCTCCTTTTTAGGTGTAAGGAGAAAAAAAGAAGCTTATCATCTTTTTTTCATGTCTTAGTATTAGCTCTTGCACAACGGTTTGAGTCCTAACTCCTGGTATTAGTAACCCACTGAATTCTTTATTCGTAGTTTGCAGTGTTGTGCTAAAACCTTGAAATATGTTCATGTTTGGTTATGTTTTACTTGATTGAACAATCTAAATAAGGCCTTTAACTAAGCCTTTGCTATTAATAGCAAAGGGATGGCAAAGTAGAGAAATTCAGTGGCTTCTTTCTGATGTTTATTAAAAGAAGTTGATATTAACAGAATGCTTCGAGCCATGCAGAGCAGCTCCCTGTATTCATTGAGTTTAGTAGCTACTTTCTGGGCAGATCAACGGTTTTACAACAGTGTTCTTGATTAACAGTGTTCAAAAGTGAATACAAAACTTAGTCAACAATATGTATCAAAATGGGATAGCAATTTCATTGTGCTTTTTGAAAGCACATTGTATTGCTTAAGTCATTATCTGAGAAGCCCTCATGGTCTTTGATCTTAGCTTCATGATACAAGACAGTCGGGATCAGACAAGTACTTGCAACTCTTCTTCATTCTTTCTTTCTGCTTGAGATATACCATGATGCATTACACTGCACTAGACGCATTACTGCACATTGCTCACAACTTCTAGTCAATATAAGCAACTTCCTATGAAGTCAGATCCTTCTTGTGGAGAAGATGATCTTCCTATAGTAGCTGTCCCGCCTTGACTAGTGCTTAAATACTTACATACATCTCAGTGATGCTCATTGCATTTTTTCTTGTCTTATTCTGCTTTAAATGTAGTTTAGTATTTCTGAGATATATCCAAGAAACTATAATGCATTTCTGCAATACTTTAAAATCTGCACTTTTCCGGTGCTCTTTGCAAGTCTTCCTGTGTGCTTTGGTTGCTATTGCCCTCAAGTTTCAACAACAATTCATGTAAGTGCTTCAGTGCCCATCTCCAGAACTTTGTTTTCTTAGTTGTTTGATGCTAGTTTGTCACTTTAGTGCTTACCTAAATGCTGAGGCCTTTGCAATGTCAACCTTTTAATAGGTTGATTTTTTTTTTGCCAGTAATTCATTATTATTGTAGCGTTGCTTTGTTGCATCACTGAATCAGAGTAGAAGAGTACCCAATTCTACTGGGAATATTTGTGCTTAGCACCTAAGTATTTCTTTACTGCAGGCCTCTGCATGAATCTATTAGTCCAGCACTTTTCTAGGTGGATTTTCTTACAGACTCTCTGTCTGTCATGCCTAGAAGACATCATCATGACTAAAAACAGTCCATCTTACAGATGAATAATAATTATCATGATTCATATTTTTCAGTCTTCAGATTGCAAGGACTTCAAATATATTTATAGATGGTTGTAAAGGAAGGTGTATCAAGATAAATGATGATCATCAATGAGATCCCCTGAAAGAATTCTTGAAGTCTAGTGTTGATGCTTCTGATCCCTAAAGTAAAAACCTTGGATGTCCAAGAACAATTACAGTGCTTGACCACAAGCACAGGCAAGACATAACAAGGCAGGCTAATCTGCAGTGGACCATGTTCCAGAACCTAGGGGCTCTGCCAAATATTACCTACTTGATATGTGGAAAATCACTGTTTTGTATTTGAGTAAGATGGAGAATCTTGGAAAGCTGGAGGCTCACTGTGCAGGTAACAGCTCCTTCAGACGTGTCTGTAAAAAATGAAAGACATTCTTTATAAAATCTACTAGTTTTACTCCAGTTGCTCTGTTAATGTGCCATTTTGGTAAACCAAAGCTTAGTTGTGCTGTCCTGGAAGCACCTCTTGACACGACTGGATATTGATGTCTCAAGGGCCAGTATAAATAACATGGTGTGCATGAGTACTTGTAGCACTAAAGAACTGTGGATGGCTGGTGTTACATGGTTCATGAATCACTCATAATAATGCAGTGATATTATCAGAAAGACAATTCCTTCCACGTCTATGGAAGTAGATTAGGAATGAAGATAATTAGGTACATTGTTTGTATTCAGGTTATCATAAAGACTGATGTCAGATTAATTGCTATTTCAAAGGAAGCCACCACACTGATTTTTGTAAAGGGATTTTTTCTTCTTGGCTCAGGACTGCCAGAAATTGTCCTGTGACTCTTCTTTTTTATTGAAATAAATTCAGAAATCTTAAAGAAAGCTTTTCAAACTTAGGAACTAACTGGAAAATAAAGAGGGAAGCACTATAATTTGGGGAAAGAAGAAAAAGGATATGCTATAGACCAAAAGGAGATGGTTGAACTTCTAACCTTCTCTTTGACAGTTTTTAGCAACAGAGTGATTTAGTATTGTTAAGAGTTTTTGCTGCTTTTATCTTGAGAAGCAAAGCTTAAATGTGAATCTTGAAGACCTAACTTCTGAGAAGAAGAGAGTTTTGGGTAAGTAACTTTCTCATGTTGCCATGTTACCTCTTGGTTAGTTGTATTCCTTTTTGTAATTATGTTCATCATTCATCCATGGCTGGGCTTCGCGAACGAAGATTTGGGAAGGCTCTATCCACATTTGTTACAGGCACGTGTAATTATGTAACCAAAGATTTATAGCTGTAAATGAAATTTTTTTTTCTTTAGGCATAGTTGATAATTTTTACTTTTCCACATGTTAGTGCTCATGTGTTTAGATCTGTGTTTCCAATTTAGGATTTTTTTCCATAGAACAAAATAAGTGTATTTTTCCTGTTTGACTAGTTCTTCTCCTTCACTGTATTTCCCATCTCTTTGGAGGATAGGATAGACTAGACTAGACTAGATGGAAAAGGTTCTGTAACATAATCTGACTGTTAACCTAACACTGCCAAATCCACCCCAGTCCTAGATCCTTCTAGCCTATTGATACTTGTGTATTAAATTACTGTCATTTATTAGATTAATGATTAATGGAAAATACCTTTGTTTTAAGAAATAATTGATCCTCAGAATGTTGTAGAATTAAAAGTTTTAACTCTTTAAATATCAGGAAAGGCAGAAACCTTAGTTTTGAAAAGTAATGAACATCTCTGGCAAATAGCGATCATGATCATCATCAAAGCACTTCTTACAACAAAAAAAATAAAACTTTATGTAGCCTCAGCAAATACTCAAAGACTAAATTCTTAAAACCCAGTACCCACCCAGTGATGTGAAATCCCAGTGATTTTTCAAGAGCACACACAGAAAATCGGTTGGTTATCTGGAAGGACAACTGAAAATTTGTTTTGGCACTGAGACTCCTGTGGACAGTACTTTGAAAGTGGAACTTACTTTTAAAGTCTTAACTCTAAAAAGAATCATCATAGATTTAGTGTGAAAAACCTGGCCCACTAGAGTTGAGGCCACTGGAAATGTTTATAAGCTTCTTTAAATGTATTGGATATGTAAATGATATATAAAATGTAGAGCCAAGAGAAATTAACAACCTGCTGTCAGTAAGGGGCTATTATGGTCTTCTAGTTTTTATTTACTCTCTTAGAAAAGAGCTCATGAATAGTACCAAATGCCAGCCAAGAGGCTCTGTGTTTACCAGGAATATATTTTTGATCCACAGTTCATCTAGGCATTTCTCACCAGAGTGCCCTGCAGGGACTGGGTTCTGGTCATACATGCGTTCTTCATCAGTAAGCTAGGCCAGTCTTACTCGTCTTTAAACTACCTCAGAAGGCTTTTTTCTGTTTGCATGGAAAAAAAGGGCACCTACGTGGCAAAGCTGTATTATAAATTGTCGGAGTCTGCCAAAATGTAAAATGTATTTAATATTCATAGAATATGAGATTTTGTCTGGGAACAGTATAAGCTAAAGACATATGTGAGTAAAATCAGTAATACAAATGCTGATTCAGAATGGGAAATGCTGTTGTGCTAATGGTCTAATGTAGTACACGATGTCAGTGTTCAGAGATTAATTAGTACTTTGTTGTCTTTGATTCTTTCATGTATTCAACAGTAAGGTATATACATTCACATCTTATTTTCTTCCCATTCATGGGGCATACTGTGATTTCCTTTTATGGACAGTAGAAAATTAAATTTTTCAGAACTGGATTAGGCTATAACTGAAGAATGGAAAACTGAATTTTAATACCTATTCTACCTCTTAGAGCCATCCGCATTTTGGCCAACATTTTTAAGTTGGTTTGCTGAACATGGGGCTTTGTATCTTTAAGACCCAGTCTTAAAGTGTTGCCATAGAACCACAATCTTGCAGACTTCCAGTGAAGTAAAAAAATATTTATTTTCTTAGTGTATTATGTAAAATACAAAACTTGGGCATGACTTCTAACAAGGACAAAAGGGAAGAAATTGAAAGAGCCATCCTTTTTCTAAGCAGTACATGAAGCAAGCTTCACAGTTGCATTTTGATTTTTGTGGACTGATCAAATAACATGTGATGGACTTAATACTTTGGTCTAGCATTCCTTGATCCTCCAAACTAGTGACTAATGCTCACTTAGAGGTGAGTTAACTGGGAGTGGTCTTCCGCACAAATCCATGGTGGTGTGCAGATTCATAATTCTGGAGCTGTAGCAAGGTGCAGTAATTCTTTCATTTCAGATGCGTGTGTTTCTTAAGATCAGTAGTTAGAGTGACCTTAAAGTGTCGTGAACTGTGAAAACTTAGTCCTATGCTTTCTGTCCTAGATACAGTGTAATCTGTTTAACATTTTTATGTCGTTTTAGACCCACCTTGCCAGACAGAACTCAGCAACATTCAGAAGCAGCAAGGAGGAAAGAAGCTCCTAGGTGAGCCATAGATCATTCTTTTGAAGGTTTTATTGCTTACATAAATAAGCCTAGTGAAACAGCAACATAAAATCAATATTAATCCAGCGAAGATAGACCGCAGTAAATTTCAGCTACGAAATTTATGAAATTTTTGAAAGCTATTAAACTTAGTTTTATTACCTTACCTACCAAAAGATCTTACATCTGTTTTATTACCCTGATAGAAGGTACGTTTTCACAGTTATAGAGGGGACAGTCTAAGGCACTCCTAAATTAGTATCTCTGCTGATCCTTTGACTGTAATATTCTTTAAGTAATTGAAATCTTTGCTGTAAATCAGCTTATACTGTATCAATATTACTGAAGTGTAAAATCTTCCTTTTACCATTAGCCACTGTATAAAAGCTACAATAAAAGGCTTGACCCAAAGCAGTCAAAACTGTATTTCTGCTAAGGATGATTTCTAAAAAGAACTGTACACTTTCACATGAAAGTGTCCAAATGAAAACCAGTGGATTATTCAGCCTTAGGCAAGTCACTGCCTCACAAAATAAGTCCCTCTTTTACGTATAAATGCAAATTTAACACTGATTTTTTTTACAGTTGGTGGTGGTGTGTTACAATGCATTTGTCTTCTGTGGTGAAATAATTAAATATTACTATGTAACTAAGTGGTTTGTAAAATACATATTAAATACAATTAACTTCTTTTAGCAAATTGTTAGTCCAGGAAGCCTGGCCCTTACTATTCAGACCTCTTTGTACTCCGCAGATGATAGAACTTCCCATTCAGGAGTGGTTTCTACATTTGAGCCTTTTCCCCAGAATACAGTGAATATCTTGACCAAGGCATTCAGGAAGAAAGGAATATGTATCACAGGATCAACAAAAAATTTAAAGAAAGATTGCTCACTTTATTTCTTGAAATCAATCCAAGACTGCTATGCGTTATTTTCCCTCCCACATTTGATATACTGAGTCACTTTCTGCTAACTGAATTTAGTAAAAGTAAACCAGTCAGTGTAGAGTCTGGAATGATGAAACAGCAAAAGGTAGTTGCTTTCAGCTATAATTGTTATGTTGGCCAAGGGGCAGATTTTAATACACTCATTTACTACATATCTATGTGTCGCAGGGCAGTACATCCCCTTCTGTGATGAAGATGGGTATTACAAACCAAGTCAGTGCCATGGAAGCATAGGGCAGTGCTGGTGTGTTGACAGATACGGTAATGAGGTAACAGGATCCAGAACAAATGGTGCAGCAGAATGTGGTAAGTTAAAATCCCTTTGTGGTATTTGATTTAGAGGTGCTATTCCCTTTGATTGCCAACCAGGTTAAATTTCTTCAGTAAGAACAGATGTGGGACCCAACTACATGGATTTTGATGCAAAAAATATCAGTGCATAATTCGTTATTGTTATTACTTCATTATTTTTTGGAACTTCTGTCACTGGGGTCAGCTATTAATAGACTCCTTATACGTGCTTGGCATAGTGTCTATAAACCCAGGAAAAGTTAATTTTCTAGAGTAGAATTAGATAAGCCCCAGAATGTTCGATGGAATTCCTTTGGGTAATCAGCATGCTAGTGAATTCAATTTGACTTTCTTTTCAGTTTATATTTGAGGGAATTACCAAAAGTTTTTAAAATCTTCCCTTATTTTTCCCTTCTGTACAGCACTGTGCAACTTCTTCCAAGAATTCCTATGTCACCTTTATTTGCTGTTTATTTGATTAAAAGATGAAAAAAAGTATTTCTCTTTTTTTTTTATAGTCATATATGACTCCTTTTCACTTCTTCTGCAACAAAAGAACATAGCCTGAAGCAGAAAGTAAATTGAACACAGTATTTGAGATACACGCTCAGGCCTATTGTCCATCTGATCCAGGATCCTTTCTAAATAAATGGGCAGTTTGATAGATATGTAAGAACTGAACAGTAGTCAGTAGTCCTTACTGTCATCTGTAAGTTGAACTTAATTTTTTTCAGTTGTTCCTAGCGTTCATTATAGTTCTACAAATCCGTAAAATTTGTCTCCTTTTGTTAACATTGAGGAATTCATTAACTTTTGAAATTTATTTCTTTTATGACAAAAAAATCTTCTTATTATTTGTATTTTATTTTTATGTCACATGTTGTAGTTGTCCTGGAAGTAAATATTCTGGTGTGCCTTTTGTATGCTAATGTAAAATATACTATAAATATGTAGTGTATCTTGTGAGTCTTTTCTATAACTATCATACCTTTTTAGCTGTCGATTTAGAGACTTCAGGTGATTTTGCCTCTGGCGATTTCCATGAATGGGCAGATGATGAAGATGATGAAGATGAACTAATGAATGATGAAGATGAAATTGAAGATGATGATGAAGACGAAGGAGATGATGATGTTGATGATGACGATGATCATGATGGATATATTTGATGATATTAGAGGGTCCATGTATTGTACCTTTCTAAGTTTCATGAGATGACATTTCATAAAATCCCTTTGCTCTCTGTGATCAAAAGGGTACTAACAAATATGTATATTTTGTATGATTATTTCAAACATTGCAGCTGGAGTCATAGACTTTTTTGTTTAAATAAGAATAATTATATTATGTGCTTTTGAGTTTTTAAATGCCGTTGCGCTGAAGAAAACATATTGGGAATCTAGCCTGAAGACAAAAATGTATATGAAAATATAAATGTGCAAAACACAGTATAAAGACAACCATTCTCTTTAAAACTCTGGTGAAAAGATATTTGCCCTTACTTGGAACTGTGCATGTCCTCTTCAGAACACATACCATAACTCCAGTTCTGTCAGTGTTTTAGGCCTTGAAGTCTTTGCAGGTTGTCCATTTTATAAATCAAAAGTGTATTGCAGTACAAAAACCTTGATGCACAAGTAGCATCTCACCAACCTTTAATTAACCAAAGGTATGGAGAAAAATTATCAGGAGGGAAGACTAAAACAAAGTCCTCCTTTGAGTTTTCTTTTGTAGTTACATTTTTATTAGGGGATGACTAGATTACTGAAAGAATTTTTCAAAAGCAGTAACATGGACAAGCACCAATTCTGTAATTCTAAAATTTTCTTGTCCTTATTTTTTTTTCTTTTCTTCATGTCAAGACAGTATAAACTTTATCATTATTTACTCAAACATTGTTTCACCCTTTGTTGTTTCTCTGTATTTCCCTCTAATCAGATTAGCATAAAATACTTACATGGGGAAAAATATTTGCTTAAAATTGTATTACCTTTATACATGACTGTATTTCAGAGTATTGTCACTTGACCCAAGGTAGTTTTTAATAAATGTATAATGATGTTTTTTATTTTCTTAATTCAGGAAATAGTTTCGCTTTTTATCTTAATTCATGTTGTTTTCTGTTACTAGTGCAGAAACTTAGAGAACGTATTGTAAAGGTGCCTTGCAAAATAGAAATAGAGAGGTTTTAGCATGCATACCAGTATAGGATATTAGGCAATAGGTAAGCACACCCAATTACCAAATTAATACCAGTATAGGTACTGCTGCTGGAATGAAGAAAATGGATTATTTTAATTTTTTTCCTATTATTATGTAATTACCATGTGGACTAGATTATACTTATTGTGTAGAGTAGCACTTAAGATTTGACTGTAGAGAAAATTACTTTAATCACTGTATTTATGTTAGCATGTTAATTAATTGTGTAGACATTTTGGGACTCCATCATCTTAATTCATATCCTATCTGTTGGTTTTTGCCCACAATAAAATTGACATGACCTGTATAATGTGTTACTACAGGTTGTAGTTTGAAAAATGGATCACTGGTTTCCCATTGTTTATTAAAAGGAAAATCAGTTTCTTATTTGAATTAATTTCTACACATTAAATACTAAATCTAATGTTTATTCTGTGTAATATTGAAAAGTATAATGCATTTTCTTTTCTACTGTTTCTGTATAGTTTGCAAAATAAAGACTGTTGTAGCCAACCCAGTATAGCCCATTATTTTGACTTTTTACATAATCTGAAATTTTAAATCGGCAAGAATTCCATGTTTCAGATACATTTTATTTATTAAAATATGTATTTATTTGAATAAAACCATTTATTAATGTTTTATTTCCATTAAGAACATTTGACTAGGGCATAGCAAGCTTTCGTTTTTCTGTAATTTTCTTGGTTTTTCTATGGCTTTGTTATGTACTTTTATGACATTGTCTTCATTATATAGTAAAGAGAGATATTTCTTTTCAAACTCTGTCATAATTTGTGGGGCATAGTTGTATTATTTTCTTAAATAAAAATAGTTAAGAGTTTATGATTCTGATAGTGGGATTTTGTTAGAGAGCAGTTTCTTAGCACTGAAATTAACTGATATAAAAATTGGTTTTAAATAAAGAAGCTAAAGAAAAAGCGTTGTCATTATTGGCTGATGCAGCAAGTACTGTGTGGAGGGTTTTTTTATGTGATAAATGGTCATTAGATGACAAACTAAAAATGCATTTTGTTAAAACTTGTGATATTAGGAAAATTAAAATGTGGAAAGAAAATTCATAATATCTTTAGTCTAATAGGATTGCAGTATGAAGACCTTTCTGAAAACAACTGTCATGCAGAAGAGCATGAAAGTAGTTTATATTCTTTCTTCCCTGAAAATTCCCCACTGAATTGGAAGAAGAGGGAATATGCATGCATTTCAGTCCCTGAGCATCAAAGCTATCTATCATAAAATCACAAGTAAGTTAAGATAGCTAAATTTACTAAAGAACAGGGACAATGGAGATTTGGGATAATTTTGGTCATTTTTGTGGTCTAAAACTAAAACAACAACAACAAACACTTGAATTATTGCTCATTCATGAGGAAAAGCCAGAGAAGATTGACAGTGTAAGTCTTCCTTTGAAAAGATCCTTTATTTTTTTAAAAAATAGGTAACTGTCTATGGATTAATACTATGGCATTGCTTATCTTTCATAATACCAGATGAAATGGAAACCACTGAAGCATTAAAGAAATGCAGGAAATCAGGAACGGGTAGAACAAATAAAGGCAAAGGCTTTAACTAAATGGCTAAATACTTAAACCATTCAGAAACTTTTTCCTTTTTTCATTAAAGGCAAAAATTTGCACAGACATCTGTCCTCATGACTGCAGTCATGCAGAAAGCAGTAGGGAACCCTTGACTATTTTTATATCGTCGCAATCATTTGTTACTTTTTTCTTGATCTTGTAGTTCTGCACATGTATTTATAGATATGCAAAATAGTGGTATAAATTTGGAGATTTTCAGACACAGTGATTAATCCTTGTGCTCTTCTAAGGATGTGTGGAATTATAATTCTCAGTTTCATTGAAAAGTAAGAATACCAACCTCAGTGCAATAAATTATGTTATAGTTTTTGAAGGGAATATTTCAGGTCAAGCCACAGATATGCTTAGTTTAAAAGCAAATGAATTAGTGTCATTAGTTTGCTTATACAAAAAACTGGATTATTGTACAAGACTCTGGAAGATGGACAGACCATACCAATAGTAGAAAGATTTTTACCTGTTTTGTGCACATGGACAAGAATGGATTTCCTTTAGTATTATTTTAAAAATCCAGTGCCCAGGTGGAATAACAAAAGTTTTTCAGGAACTGGATTAATTTTGCGCTTCATAGGAAATTAAAAAATACCTATATTTACAGATTCTTCATTAGAGCAGTGTATATATTTCTAATTACTAAAGCTTTTGAAAATTGGATTTAAATAAAGCTGTGGCAGCACAAATTTATTTGAAATACAGTAATCCTTTTTACTGTTTTTCCACTAATCCAAATATATTAGTCGCAAATCATTGACAATTTCATTTCAGTTAGTGCAGTGGACATTAAGGTAGTTTGTCAACAACTTTCTCTGTGAAGAAAGAGATTGGAATTAACATGAGGAAGAAAATAAGGTATTGGAAGAATCTTTAACTTAACCAGTTACCACTGGGTGAGTAATTAAAATATCAAGTTTTAAAAAACTCAACCCACTCCTGAAGGCAAGTACAATACTGGACATGCTAAATTGATAGAGTAACCCTTTGTTATGACTAGATTGCTGCTAACACAGTGTCACTGTACTCGCTGTAGAGGGTGGGTGCACTTTGCTAATTTGTTAATTCATCCACTTACATGGCAGTAGAAATTACTCTTTGAAGTCAAGGAACATAGCAAGAATGGGAAAAAATGTTGCCTAGCTTAAATGATGACATCTCTGCTTGAATTTTTTGTTGTGTTTCAGGTGCTAACTGAACCAAATCCTGAAAAAGAGACTTCTGCACTGTATCTGTCCTCTTGAAGGTGAGTTTTACAAGTGAAATGTGTGTGTCTATTTTTAAAGAGAATCTCCATATTTTAATGTTAGTAATAATGCAAGACATTTTTCATCTTTTCACCATCTTTCCATAAAACTCTGTAGAAAAGTTTGATTAAAACCTCAAACAGGGATATGTACAAAACTCATGCTTGTGCCTCTAACAATTTTTGACCAAGATGGTTGAAATTCATCACTTAAAATCAAGATGGACAGGGAGATTGCCAGTTCTCCCCTTCTGCCAGTAACATTCACAGCTGCTTTCTATACTCTTGGAGTATTCTGCAGTCTACTGAATTTAAAAAAAAAAAGTATTAATACACATCCTTCCAGCTCTGTTCATCATGTCATTATCCTGTTCATCAGGCAAATGCAGTTTTGAAAGAGCCAGCGGTACCAAGCACAAAGCACTGAAGATCTGCCCTATAAGTCTTGCTATTGACATCAGATACCCATTTTTAGGAAGACTCTCAAATTCTTTTGCCTTGTCATAGTTTATTTACTTCACGGACTTTAACATAGTGACATGTGTTGGTGAGGTTAAGTTGTCTGCTGGACTTTGGTTTCTGTGAAGAAGAGGAGGTTAGGTATCTTTTGATGCAAATGTAATGCTTCTGATTAATTTCCATGTGCCTGAGGAGCTTGGAGGGCACAAGAAGATTTATCAAGTTTGGGGTGTTAGAATAGAGTAGTGGTTATCAAAATACTTTGTTAATTTTGTTTGAAAGCTAGCAAAGGTAACTCAGCTTTTCTTCTCTTTCAAAAAACATCCAACAATAACAATCTGTAGGGAGAGTCCAATTTTGCAGCCCTAATGCCATGATTCTTTTTCCTTATTTTTTTGGAACAATACAGTTCTTGAAAATGTACTGTAATTCTAAATTGATTGGGCTTGAGCATTATGCAAAACTTCTTCAGGGCTTGTTCAATTTTATTACACTTCCGTAATAAATTCCATTAATGCACATTAATTCCATTGTGATGCGTTGATATTAAGGAATTGAAACATGCTTTAATTCAAAATCTGTTGGGTGAAGTTGTTTATTTGTTTGCTAATGTAAGCATTCATTATTAAAGGAAACAAAATCTTGAGATGATTTTACAGATGCCATCAGTATAAATCCAAGCCAAATCCCCCAAAGTAAAAAATTACTGTAAAAACCATGTTTGGTTCCTAGGAGGCATACATTTTAAAATTGAGGTTGAAATGGTTAAAACTGTCTTAAGAATTCTTATTGCTCTAACATCTGTGGCAGCTGCCTGAGAAATACAGTTGTATTT